GAACCCGCGGGCTCAGGCAATCCACTCACCTCAGCCTCCCAAAGGCGTGGGATTACAGGCTGAGCCACCGAGCCCAGCTAAAACAGGCAGTTTTAATGGAGACCTGTGGAAAGCTCTTGGGGCCGCCCATGGTATGTGGTGTCCTGCCTTCTTGAAGTCCTGCCTTCTTGGAGCCTGGCCACTAGGATCCTGCCTGAAGCCTGTTGGTTGTCTGTCTCCTCTCTTCTGGCCAGACTGGTGGCCCACCTGGTTCACTCTTTCTCCCCGCCCCTTGGGATCCCTGCCCCCAGGCAGGAAGTGGAACTGGCTGTATCTTCCAGGAGATTATGCAGACTGGCCCAAGGGTGATCATTCTGGCACTTCCCAGCACTCGGTGACTCCCAGGTCATCCCTGTTCCATTATGGCCTTGAGGGACTCAGGGGAAGTTCGTTCCCAGAAACTGTACTTTGTCTTCCATCTGGGTGTCTGTCATCTGGGAAACCATTGTAGTCTAACGTTGCTGTGGTATGAGGGAGGAGGACTGAGGCCTTTGCCTCCTTTTGTCCTGAGGTCATTTTCAAAAGTTTCCAGCCTCTGCCAGTCTCCGAGTTTACTGCTGTTAGCCTGAGTTGTAAATCCTGGTTACTCATTTGGAATACCTGGGTGTGCTTTACAAAGTACAGATGTCCAGATCCCCTTCCCAACGACCCGACTCTGGAGCCCGCTGGGTGCTTCTCTTTCCATTCTGCACTCACAGCGTCCTCACTTGGGTAGCCTGAAATCTGCCAAGATGGCAGTGTTTATACCGTGGAAATCGGCAGACACTTCAAATTGGGTCTCAGAGAGCTGGTTGCTAGAAGGTTACCAGCCCACCACTAGGCCAGGGCATCAATATTTTTAAAAAGCTCCCACAGCGATTGTCATGTGTTGCCCGTGTTGAGAATCACTGGCCCTGAGGCGTCCTGTGATAGGCATGGGGAGGTTTATGTTTACTGATAATAGCTAACAGTTATCTAGCCCCGATGGATGTTAAACTACTGATGTGAATTAGCTCGCACACCCCTGACAACAACCCCTGAAGGAGGATTATTATCCCCATTTTGTAGATGGTAAAAGTGAGGTCCAGGTAGGTTGTCTGGTGCCTGTCCAGGCCTGCACTGCTGGTTGGTGGCTGAGGCTGATTCCAGCCCAGGCCTGAGCTCCCAGGACCTGAGTCTGGTCGGGACCTCTTGGACAGCTGTGGTCAGTGCCCTGCTCTTCCTAGCAGGTTGGATGCAGAGTCCTGCTCTTGTCATTCAAGATGACTGTGGGGACTGAGCCTGGGAACCCCTCCCGCCTCCACCTTCTGTGTGCCAGTGTGGCATGGGCAGTTATCACGTGGGGCCACTGGCCACGGGCAGGTCTTCACCCAGCTTAGGTGGGATGCTCGCACTCTGAGCCGGACGGCAAAATGCAGACACTAACGGCTTCTGGTGCTGGCATGTGTTTTCTCGTTCTTCCAGTGGAGCACGACAAGGAGTTCTTCCACCCACGCTACCACCACCGAGAGTTCCGGTTCGACCTGTCCAAGATCCCAGAAGGGGAAGCTGTGACCGCAGCCGAGTTCCGAATCTACAAGGACTACATCCGGGAGCGCTTCGATAACGAGACGTTCCGGATCAGCGTGTACCAGGTGCTGCAGGAGCACTTGGGCAGGTGGGTGCTGGGCTGGTGCCAGGGAGGGGCGCCGTGCTTCCTACAGCTGCAGAGGAGGGCTGCGGTGGCAGTGGCAGTGGCTGCCAGGGGGTGGGGTGGGGACGGGGCAGGGTGGGTGCAGGGAAATCCTGGCGGCTTCCCCCGTGCAGCACCAGCTGCAAGCTGGCCCTGTGCCGATATCGTTTTTAAAAAAGGCGTGTGGTGTGTGATGTGTGTCATTGCTTCTTCAAGCTATGACTGTCAGTGAATCCAGGCCAGAGGGGCAGGAGGCCCGGCAGCCTGGGAATATTTGGCCTCGTGGTACTCATGGGTGGTCTAGTCAGGCACGGTGCTCAGGGGAAGGGGAAGAAACATGTTTGAAGGCCTGCTCTCTCCTGTTCATCACCCAAAGCCCAGCACGTGGTGTCAGGCAACCAGTGAGTGTGGCCACCTGCAGTAAAATGTTAGGGGGAAAAACCCAAACCGAGAACTCTTAGCTTTCTGGGAATCACCAGGTCAGGAACCAAACGTCTGTGTTGAAAGACTAATATATTGAGACCCTTGAATTCCAAGGTCTTGGGAAGGGCCAGGCCATCTGGCAACTGCATTCTGCAGTCCTGAGAGATAACTGAGGTTATGTGACTCTGTGACTGGATTGTGGACTCCTCAGGTTGCTGGAATTCTGTCGCCTAATGCCATGACATGGAATTTAATGGGAAAAGGTGGCATGGGCACCCCCTTCTGATGGACAGGGCAGGCATCTTCGCTGAAAAGGGGACTTGTGGGCACAGACCAGGGCAGAGGACTCAGCACAGCCACATTTGCCCAATGCTGGATTTTTCCAGGGTCATCTTTTTTTTTTTTTGAGTCAGGGCCTCACTCTGTTGCCCAGGCTGGAGTGCAGTGGCATGATCACAGAACCCCGCAGTCTCGAACTCCTGGGTTCAAGTGATCTTTCTGCCTCAGCCTCCTGAGTAGCTGGGACTACAGGCACATGCCACCATGCCTGGCTAATTTTTCTGTATTTTGTAGTGATGAGGTCTCAAATTTCCGGGCTCAAGCAATCCTCGTGCCTAAGCCTCCCAAAGTGCTGGGATTACAGGTGTGAGCCACCACACCTGACTCTCAGAGGTCATCTTAAATACCAGGAAAACAGTTCTTGAGTGTTTCCAGGGTTTTGCATTCGTTATCTTATTTCATATTCACAGTAGCCTTCTGAGCTGTGACTGGAGGGTCAAAGTGGTCTGAGGCCAGGGGTCGAGGCCACCTAGAAGATGGGACCACATCAGTGCACGAATGAGCCCAGGCTTAGGAAGCTGGAGCCCAGTCTTATAACAAATAATTCTTTCAAAAATTTGTTTTTGAATAGGCAAGAGACATTCATGGTGTAAAATTGGAAAGAAAGTTAATGTGGTGAGAATGTCCAGACTTGGGAGGCCAAGGCAAGAAGATCACTTGCACCCAGGAGTTTGAGTCCAGCCTGGGCAACATAGCAAGACCTCATCTCTACAAAAAATAAACAGATTAGCTGGGTGTGGTGGTGCGTGCCCATAGTCCCAGCTATTTGGGAGGCTGACGCAGGAGGATTGCTTGTGCCCAGGAGTTTGAGACCAGCCTGAGCAGCATAGTGAGACCCTATTGCTGCAAAAAAAATAAACAGATTAGCTGGGTGTGGTGGTGCGTGCCTTAGTCCCATCTATTTGGGAAGCCAAGGTGGGAAGATCGCTGAGCTTAGGAGTTCGAAACCAGCCTGGGCAACATAGTGAGACCTCATCTCTACCAAAAATAAAAAAGATTAGCTGGGTGTGGTGGTGCATGCCCATAGTCCCAGCTATTTGGGAGGCTGACTCAGAAGGATCACTTGAGCCGGGAGTTGGAGGCTGCAGTGAGCCATGATCATGTCACTGCCCTCCAGCCTGGCTGACTGAGAGAGACCCTGACTCAAAAAATACCTAAATAAAAATAAAAACAATCCAGTGGATGTGAAGGTTCCCAGGTTCCAGCGCCGAGGCAGCCCCTGCGGCCCGTTTCTTGACTCGCATCAGCAAGTGTATTTGCCTGTTTCTCTATGGTCACACGTGGAATCCCTCGTGCACTCATCCCTGCACCTGCTGCTCTCGTTGGTTGCCATCCCTCGGCAGTCTCTCCCTGTGGGTCCACACGGAGCGTCCCCACCTTTGAGTCAGTCCCGTCCCTCTGTGCAGCTGTGCCACCAGGTGTTTCCCAGGCATGTGGTGGCTTCTCTCTCCTGCGGTGACGGTGCCCTGAGGGTTCATGTCTATCAGTGGGTGAGGCTCTAGAGATGGAACGGTGGCACCTTTGGGGATGTTGCCGGTGGCTCCCTTTGGAGGTTTATCCGCGACTCCTTCCAGTAGCCTGGGGGAGCGGGGCCATGTCCCACGCGGCCTCTTATTAAATTGCCGATCCTTGTCGGCCGATGGGTGTCGAGTGGCATCACAGCATGGCTCATGTTTGCAGTGCAGGAGGGGTTCTGCCTCCTCCTGCACTGCCCTGCCGGAGAGGGTGGCAGACCTGCTGGGGGATGGCACGGGGAGACAGCTGTGGCGGTCACCTCTAAGTCTTCCTGAAGGCCCTCGTTAGCCTGGCCCTGCCTGTCCCACAGGCCCAACTATAAGAGGCATCGGGTTCAGTCTTGGGAGTCACCAGTGTCCACTGTGCACGCTGAGCGGCCCCCCAGGACTCTTGAATGAGCCCACGTTTTTGACCTTCTCCTAAAGCTGAATGATTGGGTGAGATGAGTGCCCAGAGCTGTTGGTCAGCAGCCCCTGCTGGGCCAACTGCTCACAGCCTGGCCCTGTCCACACCCGGCCTCCTGGCAGCCTCCCTACCTGCCTCCAAAGCTCTGTCACAGTCCTGACCTCAGGCCCTGAATGGGTGTGGCTGGACAGAGGGATCTGCTGGGGTCACCAGTGTGGCTCCTCTGGGGTCTCCAGGTGGCGGTGGATCTCTGAGGACGCCTCTGACATTGAGTGCCTCCTTCCTGTGACGAGAGCTGGTGGCCAGCATCCCTGGCACTGCCCTACCAGGGGCACGTCTGCCTGCTGTTCCCTCCTCCCTACACACCTGCCCTGCTTCATGCTGGGGAAGACCTGAGGCTTAGTGGTGGGCAGCCAGGTGTGGAGGGCAGAGGCGTGTCACCCCTGGGGAGACAGGATCCTGGGCTCCACTCATCTGAACTCCCATGAGCACATCTGTGCTGCCTGCTCTCAGGACCCGGCTCTGGTTTACACAGGCCGGGGCAGCGGGGCAGTGGCCTCGAGAAGCTGGCTGAAGGGTGTGCAAGGGTCCTGGGGTTGCTGTAACTGAACACCACACATCGTGTGGCTTGTCACCATGGATGTCACTCCTCTCTATTCTGGAGGCCAGAGTCTGAAAGCGGGTGTCAGCAGGGCCATGCGCCCTTGGGAACTGGTGGGGCAGGACCCTGCCTGGCCCCTTGCGGCTTCAGGTGGTGGCCGTGTTGGTGTCCCCTGCTCAGCTGCCTATCAGTCTCTGCCTCTATCACCACATGGCCCACCTTGGCATGGCGTATCCCTGGCCCCCTTCCTCTTCTTACATGGTCAGGGGCTGTCCTCCTCCAGTGTTGCCTCCTCCAACTAATTGCAACTGCAAAGACTCTGCTTCCAAATGAGGCCACAATGACAGCCACTCAGGGTTAGGACTCGAATCTGTCTTTCTTATGGGTCCAGTCCCAGAAGAGGGTTACAGAGGATGGCAGTGAACAAGCAGACGTGTGAACTGCCTCTCCATTGGCTGGGTCAGGTGGCAAGTTGAGTGAGGTTGAGGTGTCATCCATGGCTTTGGTGAGTGGGGGACGTTTAATGACAAGATGGACCTGGCAGTCGGGATGGGGAAACCATGTCTCGGGAATAGCAAGGGCTGCTTCCTAAGGATGGAAGGGAAGCCGGACCAGGTAAGCAGCTTAGTCTCCACTTGGAAACAGCAGCCTTCATCTAGTGGCTCCAGCCTCCCGGCTGGGCCTCCACAACTCCTCATCCTTCCTGCTGTTCCCGTGGGAACCTGATCCCATCACGGCTTGGGGTGGCCACCTCTGCTGTCCCGCCTGAGGTCCCTGGGGCAGATCTGGCATCCCTGTGGTTGGGAGGGGCACAGGTGCTACGGGTGTCCTCGGACAGGCTACCGACCACGAGCAGCTTGGGCTTGGGAGCCCATCCTAGTGCTGGGGCTTCTGATGTGCTGGGAGATGCCGCCCCCTGCCAGCAAATGTCTGATCACCTGCTGCTGCCGTGCATGGTGCATTAGCCAAATGTAAGTCCCTGACCTCGCAGCTCAGCGGAGGCCATGACTGCTGCGGAGGCCATGATGGCAGGTGGGAGGTATGCGGAGCTGGGAAGGGTGCAGAGAACGGGGCTGCCTCCTTTGGAATTCTAACTCTCTTTCCTGTGCCTGAGACGGGAAGCATAGCCCCCATTCTTGAGAAGTTAAATGGTTAAACTTTGAAAAAAATTATTTATGCATGTTCTGGGCAGTCTGTTTTGTTTTTGAAATCGGAACCAAGATGCTCCCATTACGTAATTCCCCAGGTGGGAACATCCAGCTCTTAAGAGCACGGGTTTGAATCCTGCCCTCAGGTTCCTGTGTGGCCTTGGGAGAGACCAACCTCTCAGAGCCTCAGTTTCCATCTCTATAAGATGGGGATAATGAGTCTCCCTTTACGTGGCGGACGAAGGGAGGTAACATGCTTAGAGCAGCATCTGGTACACAGTAGGTGTTCAATAAATGGTTGCTGATACTGGGATCGTCATCCTTGTAGTAGGAAGTACAGAGAGAACTTAGGAAGGTAGAGAGCTCCAGCGTCGTGGCCTCGCTGCTAAACCCCTCAGTCCTGCCGCATCCCGCGGGGCACAGTGCTCTCGGCCTGCCCATTAGGAGATGTCCCTTGCATGTCTCCAGCCAGGGGCCCTGTTGTCTCCTGGCAGAAGGCCTCCTGGGGTCCCCTGCCCCCGCCAGGGAGCCTCCTGGCCCTGCGCCCTCCCACG